AAGAAGAGCCTCGTGACACGTAATCGATCATTTGGAGTGTATACTTCTGATAAGTATCGGTGAAGTGTGGGAGTACTCCTGAGGTGCTTCCACAATTCGCCTGCAATGGTCCAAGGAAACGGTCCTGGACCAGGAGAATGGACAGGTTCGCCTCGGCTAAGGGTGGAGGAGCTCCAGGGTGGATGACCTGGTGCAGAAAAGTGGATGGGATGTGGGCAGGAGTGTGGAATGTAGGACATCCACCGGTCCTTATCAAAAGTACGCTCGAAATGAGTCGTTCACATATATCCTATCTTACCATTAGTCTTAGAGAGCCTAATAGAGTGCCCTCTAGAGCTAAAGATAAGACACCAAAAAGTGGCCCCGAATCAGATTTTCACCAATTGTGTTTTGTCTGGATTATCCTTCCATCAATAGCCGAGTAAGGAGCCATCATGGGATCAGTGTGTTGAGATCGAGCTCACATAATTTGTCGCTTCTCGCTGCCACCATCAAAACTTCACTTTTTGCCAAATGGTTCACCTCCGCTGTCTAGCAGCGATTCACTCGCATTTTGTCAATGATCTCGGCCTTTTCTGCATAATTTATTGCATAGTTGGAAGAAGCTTGGTTTCGCATGAAGAATACCAGATAAAAAGGAAAAGGATAAAGCATTTGCCGTTGATCAATCCCTTTTTGGGATGCGGCACGCATTCTACTTCCATTTGTACATTCGTAGTGGCGTTTGAATGCGATGTGGCCTATACAATGACTTGCGGGGGCCAGCCGATGTACAAGTTTAACCGACCCCGGAGGGATGGAAGGCTTGGTTGGCCCGGGCGACTCACGACCCAGGATTTGATCCCCGGACCGCTCGCGTGGTAAGCGTGCCACTTGCCACTACACCACTTCCGCCCTTGCTGGTGAAGAATCACGAGAAAGGTAGAATATGTAATTCGAAACCCCATCTTTATTCGGGTCGTTACTCCTAAGACATGACCTTTTGCAACCAATGCAACGAGTACTATGGGAGAAGGTATGTTTCTGGCGCACGCTACGTTGAAAAAGATGCCCTAAACAGTCAGTTCCTCAAAGTCAATCGAAAACATTGCCCTCGCGTGTATATTGTACTACTTCAATCAAGGGTAAAATCTGCGTTCAGTGTGAAACGTTCCACAGCAACGTACAGAAAGTACAGGATTTATTCTTGTTAACAAATGCCTAATCGCTTTTAAAAGTCTACACAGTGGGCAAAAACTACAGTAACGAGAGGCGTGTCAGTCCCAATTGGCTAAAAATGCCAACGCTCACTGTTTGAGGGTCTGCCCTAACTTCTGGCCTGAAGCACAACACTTTGATTTTTTCAAGTTTTACCTTCCCTATAAAACAATTGTTCAAAAATATAACCACCATCATAATCACTGATATGCATCCATTCACTGATATGGATTCCTCCCAGAACGAGTGAACTTGTGGGATGAAAAGTTCAAGAGGTCGTTTTTCGGGTGTTTGTGTTTACTGGATTTTTTCTCTCGTAGCTGCTGCTTCAGGGAGCTGGAGAGGGAATGCTAATACGACGGAGTAATGTCAGGGCTATACGATTGATGTGGTATCGTTCTCCCAGCCCCCTCTTTGGGCAGAGTGAATTAGGGCGTGTTTTTTTTTATATGATGATGTTCGGACCGGCATCCTGCACCAACTGTGGCCACTTCAGGATTTATTCCATGGTTATCTTCGCAATGCTTGTCTTCATAAAGTGAGGTGGCTCCCGAAGCGGAATACCCAGCACATCCTACAAATCGCGGGTAATACCCTCTGGAGCGAGCTCGACTTTTCGTTAAAGATGGTAGGGGCGAGGTTGCCACCAGGCGTGCCGCGTTTTGCCATCGTGGTGGACAAATGATTCATCCCGACTGGAGAATGCCCTATCTACGCGGTCGCAGAATGCAACTTGCAGATGGTCAGGCATGGTTATCGGTCATGGTCATCGATTGCAATGGCTGTTTCCATCGAGCTCGTTTCTGCTACAACGGCGTAACCTACGAATATTATGGATGATGTCCCAACAAGAAGCCATTGTTGGGCTTCAAGAGCAGGATGGCCCAACTGGCTTCCGCACACTAACGGCTAACATGGACCGAAGGCGAGAGGTAAAACTTTGTCCTCAGCGACGAGCAGGATTTCTGTCTTCCTGAAATGATGTTGTGGACCCTGTGAAGTGTTCTGTCAAATGGAAACCTCATTTTGAGTATAAGATTCCAACAGTCAGAAATAGTGGAAGTATTGTCATGGATGAAGATGTGTCCGACCATTCGGCGATTCCCCAGTTCTAGGTATCCAGCGAAATGTGGGTTGGGCTAAGTACAAGTATAGTCTGTAGAATACAATGCTTCCCTTCGATAGTCAGAACTAGCCGGAAAAGATGGGTTTTCTATCGCGGAAATGACCCAATGCAGGCCTACCTCCTCACTGCCGCCTTCCTAAACCCAGAAAAAGAAGCTGTTATGAAGCGACCAAGTCAAGATCTAAAGTCTAATTGAGTTCTACATCCCACGGAAGAAGCTGGCATGTCGCTCAACCCACATTCCAGTTAAGAATCCCACCAATGTGATTTAGTTCACAGTGTGTAGGTTCGACTTAAAAGTCCTAAAATTATTTTATAATCAACTCCATGTCAATAAAACGTGCTAACATAGAAATTTACAGCTACTCATCGAATAACTAATTTATCATGTGGATTCGAGAGCTATTTTGCCGAATTCGCTTTGGAATTGAGAAGTTTCCAAACTTTTGACGCGCCATTTCTTATAAAAATTCGTATTTTTCAAATGCGATTCTCGTTTTCAAAAAATTATGTTGCTCATCGTAATCTACACTTGATTCTGAATATAATATGTGAATTCGGGACAATTTCATTGTCTATTGGCTACGCTAGATCAAAAATAAAAAATTTCCAAACTTTTGACCGCTACTGTAGCTCCCGGGTGCACTTCCGATTCATAGCGCAAGGAGTCCTCATCGAAAGTGACTGGAGGTCCAGGATGAGGTCGAACTTTGCAGCTCCTATCGTCTTTGCCGATGCTATTGAGCCAATAGCTCAGTGCCGATCAGAAGACTGGGAGAAACACAGCGCTGATCCTGCCTACTGCGCTCCTTGCAAGGGTTTTGGTCGTTGATCTATTTCGATTCTTACTTGATTATCGCGACGAGTGTAAGCCCATGGAAGAGATGATACGATGGGATAAGAAGGTACGGCTGCACGCTAAGAGGTGTACTCCAGAATGAAAACGGCTGCAACCCCTTCCACATCAATACAGCTTGTTTTTGCAATCAGGAAGTGGATTTGGGCGCCTTATCACGCTGTTGATAAGGCGCCACTGCCACTGACGTGTTGTAACATTGGGCAGGACCCCTATCCACTCCAGTACATAGCTTTCCTTATCGTCCCTATGAGAAATTATCGAAGGTTGGCGGCCGCTTGTTGGCTTCAGAATGGTCCTGACTGTCTATTAAATTATTCGTGACCACTTCTTTAATATTAACCAACGCGTTCGAGTTTGCGAAAGGTGTAGTACGCTGCATGCCGCTGTCAACGTTGTGCGTAGCCTAACAAGGGAGGTCTTTCAGGGCCAAGGTGCGCTTCTTGGAAACGGTTTAGTACATGTTGTAGGGACGCATGTATGGACCACAAAACCATGTTTCGTTTTCGCTGAACGGTTTTAGTAGTACCAAAAAAGTGGTGAATAATACTCTTGATTATTAAAGGACGAATTCACGATCAGAGGGAAAATCGAATTAGGAAGAATTCACCTGGTTGAGGGACCCGCGGAGCTCCTAAGTGTGCGAACTGAAGCACAATTTGCACAGGAGGAGTTGACCTCGTTGACCTATTAAGGTTTAATCCCGCCGCGGCTGGTCAGTGCACGCCCACCGATCATCTGATCACTCGCCGCAGGTCTATACGTGGTGAGTGATTAGATAGGTGAGAGAGCGTAGCGTTGAAGAGGGCACAGCGATGATAGTCGCATCAATGCTCAAATCAACGGGCAAGGAAGGGGTCCCATTTCTCAGGTTCTGGGCCGTTTCTCATGGTTTTTCCTTCTTTAGTGTACCACTCACCATCGCTAAGTTAATTTGAAATGGGTTGCCTTTCCAGCGTGAATTCGTCCTTTAATCCCGCCCGGCGCACTAAATTTTGCGCAATCAAGGTTGGCGGCCACTTGTTGGCTTCAAAATGGTCCTGACGATGATTTTGACATCTGATTTCTGATATTTAGCGCGATTTGGCACCAACCGGTGGACGCCAACCCAAATGCAAAATTTAGTCGCCACGGGGGATCGAACCCTTAACAGTACCTTATGCTTCTTTTTTGGTACTGCTATAACCGTTCAGCGAAAATGAAACATGGTTTTGCGTTCCCTACATGCGTCCCTACAATATGCACAAAACCGTTTTGAAAAAGCGCACCTTGCCCTGAAAGACCTCCCTTGTAAGGCGATGTCAGATTTGCGGAATCGAGCGATTTGCAGGCGTCGCGGTCGCGTCGGGCCGTAAATCACTCTATTGTCTGATACCGAATGAAATGGTGACGTCCTTGATTAGTAATCTTTATTACTCAACAACTTGAAAAACTGAACATAAACTAAACACTACAAAAGTAGAAATGGCGCAGAGCAGCAGCACGGAGAGATCAACAATTTAAAACGTTACAATTCACAAATTTCGAGTGGTATGTACAATGCTAAAAAAAACTTGACTGAAAAAAAGAGAATTGAGCAACGATAACCTTTTGCCCTACAAGCCTAAAACAGACATTACTCATTTTTAACGTGACTTGGGTCAGCTATAACAGCAGATTCGGACTCCTCTTCAACATCATTGTAGTCTTCATCTTCGTCATCCGGGTAGAACTCTTCCCTTTCAACGCTGAAGTCTGCCGAGCAAATACTGCAATTGCTGGTAGTCAGTGAAGTACCCATTGCCACCACAACCGACAGTAACATTTACATTTAAATGAATTATCTAATTCGACCATATGTGTATTTGTACTGCTGATTTGAGTGTAAATATGTGGAACCGAAGAATCAAACGAGGATCGTATTAACTCTTGTCGTTTTTCGACATATACACTGCTCCGCATAATTATAAAGCCACCTATGTTTTCTGCAAAAACTCTTTTCCTAAGATGCGTTCGAAGAAGCTTCTATATGGAAAAGGATGTAGGTATAAATGTTCTTTTGCACACCAGCACAAAGTTCCAGCTTTGAAATTTGAAGAGTGTTTTTCTGCAATTTTTCGAAAAAGCCGCTCTGACCTATTCCGCATAATTATAAAGCCACCCCATACTTTCTCGTTGCCTTTCCTTCCTGCTCGATTGAATTTTTTTGTTGTTATCCACACTTCGTCTTTAGGTGAAAACGAGAGGAAAACCGTCACCATAATCTGAATAAAGGGAAATCGTAACAAAAATCGTGAAAGAGTTGAGAGGCAGTCGCACTGCCCAAATTTCGGGCCAGGTTCGCTTCAGAGAAAACAATTTCTTCGAGCATAGTGTAGGATATGGAGTAAAATTGAGCCTTGGAGATCGTCCTTTGCTTTCGGATTCAGATACACGCCGTCTCATGAGAAAACCAAACAGTTCCATCAAGTTGTGCTCGAAAATCAAACCTTACTTGGAATTAAATTCTCCAACCGGTGTCTGTTCAGCGTCTGTGGCAGAACTGCAGGTTCATTCGCGAGTGAGAAATGTAAAGCGCATTGTTTATGACAACAAAACATCTCAAAAAGTGAGACAGTTTTGTCAAGAAGTGAAGCCGAGCTGACTGGAGTGAGGGCGGTTTTTTATCTGTCATTTCTCACGATACACCTGCCTTTCTTCCAAAGTTCTTTATCTCCAGGATACGCTTCTTCATAAGAAGAAGTTATCTAGAGTAAGAAAATGTTTCGAGAAAGGAAGACAAGGCGTAGGAAATGACAGGTAAAAAACCGCCCTCACTCCAGTCAGCTCGGCTTCACTTCTTGACAAAACTGTCTCACTTTTTGAGATGTTTTGTTGTCATAAACAATGCGCTTTACATTTCTCACTCGCGAATGAACCTGCAGTTCTGCCACAGACGCTGAACAGACACCGGTTGGAGAATTTAATTCCAAGTAAGGTTTGATTTTCGAGCACAACTTGATGGAACTGTTTGGTTTTCTCATGAGACGGCGTGTATCTGAATCCGAAAGCAAAGGACGATCTCCAAGGCTCAATTTTACTCCATATCCTACACTATGCTCGAAGAAATTGTTTTCTCTGAAGCGAACCTGGCCCGAAATTTGGGCAGTGCGACTGCCTCTCAACTCTTTCACGATTTTTGTTACGATTTCCCTTTATTCAGATTATGGTGACGGTTTTCCTCTCGTTTTCACCTAAAGACGAAGTGTGGATAACAACAAAAAAATTCAATCGAGCAGGAAGGAAAGGCAACGAGAAAGTATGGGGTGGCTTTATAATTATGCGGAATAGGTCAGAGCGGCGTTTTCGAAAAATTGCAGAAAAACACTCTTCAAATTTCAAAGCTGGAACTTTGTGCTGGTGTGCAAAAGAACATTCATACCTACATCCTTTTCCATATAGAAGCTTCTCGAACGCATCTTAGGAAAAAGTTTTTGCAGGAAACATACTGGCTTATTAATTATGCGGAGCAGTGTATGTATACCATTTCCACTTGAAAATGGACATCGTTCAAATCAAAGTTGCTGTTTTGCAAAAAATCGTGGACATTTTTCAATTCGACCCGGAGATTTTTCAAATAGCTCAGGACGTTTTTCATTTCGACCCGGCTTTTTTTCAATGAACCGTGGACAGTTTTCAATTCAACTTGAATCTTTTTCAAATGACCGTAGACATTCTTCATTTCAAGATGGATTTTTTTCATTTCAAGCCAGACACCGCTCAAATGAAGCGTAACCACCTTCATTTTCGGTCGGTAATTCTTTTCAACATCAAAACAACAATTCGCAAAAAAACAATAATATCCGGGAAACCTTCTTGGTCAAGAAAATACTACATTTTCGAGTGAAACAAATGGTCATTTCTCTACAACCGAACACAAGGGGAACAAAATCAACAAGTTCAATTAACGAAGGGCTGTCCAGCTGCCGCGGTCGTCAAATTTACCATCATGTGGAGGACGTAACTCGCACAATCCTGCTCCGTCACCGTTCCTACACTTTCCTGAATGACTCAGCCATCCCCTGATCACATTTGGCGCTTTCGTTCACCATTGTATGCGTATTGATCCCTTGAGACAGAAACATTGCAAGAACAAGGTCGCATAAGGGAAGGGATTCAAATACTCGGGACGATCCTAGAGAAGGTTCGATGAAGAAAAGAGGATCGCTGAAACAAACGTGTATGGGGCAGATTAGAGTTCCAATGAGAGATTTTCAGTTTTTGTTCCAGGATTTGAACATCTCAGCACATCCGTCAATTTTCAGTCAAATTTCAGCGAAAAATGTTATTTGACATTCTAGAAAATGTGTCCAGTTTGATCTGAAAAATCTCACCAATGTTTTGAAAAGTGTCCTAAATGAATGAAAAAAGCCGGGTCGAAATGAAAAATGTCCACGGTCCAGTGAAAAAAAGCCGGGTCGAAATGAAAAATGTCCACGGTCCAGTGAAAAAAAGCCGGGTCGAAATGAAAAATGTCCACACGGTCCAGTGAAAAAAAGCCGGGTCGAAATGAAAAAAGTCCTGAGTCAATTGAATAAGGTCCACTTTGGAGTGGAAATGGTAATATGAGCACTCGTTTTGGCGAAAATGCACAAGTCACATCTCCCAGAGAATATGTTCCTGAATGCTAGTATTTTTTTTTCGAAACGTTTGGCAGAGATTGCATTCCGTCCTGGTCTGCCATTTCCTATGAGCCTAGTATTTTCAATCATCCAGGATTTCACGTTCCCGGAGACCATAGATCGCGAATCTTCTCTTCGAGATGACTGAATGGTAGCCACTTCAAGCAGAGTCCGTAGAATAAGCTTATAGTGGGGACCCTCCTATTACATTTCTGTCAGTGTGTTTTTTTACAATCGCATCAACTCGGATGGGGGTGAGGCGCCAGCGGAATCGCATAAAAAAAAACACCCAACTTTTTTTCCGGCGATGTATAGGCTGCTGTTTTCTCCTTCGGCCTACACTATGAGTTGGGTGCCTTAATAGTACTTACTACCTTAATAGAAGAAGTTCTCCTACCCGGTTGCAAATTTTCATGACCGAAGATGATTGAATATTTTATCATTTGCGTGTATGCTTCGCTTTTCAGACGATAACTTCGTATAATGTATGCTATTTAAATTTTGCTAAAAATTTTGCGTTGAAAACAGTTAGTATTTGTTTGCAGATGCAAAAGATAACCTTTTGTTGTTCTTTTTCCCAAAAGAAAAAAAGGCGACAGCTCTCCTCAGGTGCACCCCTCGACGTGTTACCTTTTAATTCTTCCCAATAAAACTGCACTCCTGAATCGAGGAACAAATTCAATGACAGGATTTCAACGAGAAATATACAAGGTATGAATGGAGGACAAGTTCCAGCTTTCGCTGCACGTAATTAGGCTGCCTATATACTGGGCGGCAGGAATTAGCAGCCCCATTAGGCTAGTACCAACTTCACAACGAAGGTGCGTAATTTCTTCAGTGAAAACTTTGAAAGACACAAAAAAAAAGAAAACAAATGGACTTGCCATAAAAGCAGGTCCTCGTGGTTTACTGTTTAGGAGGAAATTAGCCATCAAGTCAAGGAGGCCTCTTATTCAAAGAGGCTGATCCTGCTTGCAGAAGCCTATGTTTCAAATTGAACAACTTTTTTTTCCCGCACAAGTACAATTACGATTTTGCATGGTATTCAGATATTGTCTATTAATGGCCAGTATGATTGGCCCAAATTTTTATGAATAAGGGGTCAATCTAGAAACAAGAGGAAACGCAGGAAAACACTTCATGTGTAAACGCCCACGTCCTCGCCTTTCGTACTTTTTTATTTTTCGAACGGCTCGCAAAGAAGAAATTATTGAGCTACAGTTACTAAAAAAAGCAATGTGTCCTTTGATGACGCTTTTAATCCGTTTCCTATGTTTCTCATGTAGTGTTACGAATAAATAAATGAATCACCTGTAACAAATGATACTGAGGAACGCAATCGGCATTCCAAATAGAACCGATGACAATAACGGCTGCGTAGCGAACATTTGAGTGACGTTCATGTAAACTTCAAAAATAATGCGCCGTATCCGAACTGGCAACGAACGACCTGAAACAAGTTGATGTTGGCAAATTCCTTGTTTGATGAATGAGAGCCTACCTCCAAGAGGCGTAGCAGTCCCCTTTTCAATTCCATCAGCCAGATTGCTAAGCCAAGTGATTATTGACGCACGCGTGACTTTTTCCGTGTCGTCTTCGTTAAGGAAATATTCGAATGAAGTGTAATTCAGTACGAGCATGCCTGAACCAAGCTTTTAATATCTCAATTTTTGTGAGGAAATAGTGATTAAAACGAACTAGGGACTTCCATATTGCTCATCACTATACTGGTAACAGCCTCTGAACCGTCGATCCATGCAAATTGATACCGCGTCCACAAATTTGGAGAGTTGCGTAAATCCTCAGCTGCACCACGTGCCTATAAATGTTTTATTCAGATTCAAACTAGCCGCTGAGAGTTGCTTTGCTTCAGAAGCTAAGCTAACGGCTAATGTCAAGGGTTACCACTCTGGTCATGCTGCTTATCCAATTATTTGAACACGTCTAAGGGCTCTTGCATGTAACTCAAAGCGTGTTTGTGCCTTTGGGCGACAGATCGATAAATTAGGGCGAACGAGAAATCTATCAGCTAAGAGGAGGTAGTCAGTTTAGGTAATCACTCCACATGTGGAAGAAGCTAGGATGATAGACTGCAAAATACCGCTGTGGAAGGAAGCAAACAAGCGCGTCTCGGGGCGGCGACTGCTGGCACTACCCCTGACACACTGACAACAACGCGACGCGTATGAGCCTCGCTTACATGTCATATTTGAAGGCTGCGGCAGGCGTCATCTAACGCCCTGAACTCCATCTTCTTTTTCCACAGAAAACATAGAGAAATGTTCAAATGGCACGTAATCCTGGCTGTCCGATCTTCACCCGCAGTACCCCATTTTCGTGCGAAACCATCCAGTCAAACGCTCAGCACAGCAATTCGAAAACTGCATCAGCTTTTTTTATTTCACATTATTAGAACGATTAGCGGAAAGAATCCTGTTTTATGCCCGTGATGTGCTCCTGAGACTGGCTAAAACACAGCATGACCCCATTTAAGTGATTTCATTTGTGCAAGAAGCCTCAAAATTGTCGACTATACAAAACATGAAGTTAAAATTTTATAACTAGTAGATAAAACAAGTTGTTAGATAATTACTTAATGTAAATTAATGAATAAAAACTCACTTTCCCATAAAATACTCCAACAGGTGATGACTGATTAAATCTCTCGAGCTGAAACAAGCAATTCAGCAGGCTATTCCGCTGAAGAAAAAAAAACGAAAGCTAACCTCAGTGCATATCACAAGTACAATAAGCTTTCCAGTGGTGGCAATATCGCCTAGATTTGTGGCCGACGCACGAGGCATCAGTGGCCAACGTTCAGCCATAACCCAACTTCTTAGCCCTTCTGCAAAAAGTTCCTTTACGATTTATCACATCTAGACTCAAAGACACAATCGCGATTAAATAGGGATGGGTTGTTGTGCTCCAAAATGAAATCAGTAGTCATAATCAGAATTATCAGTAGTTTACCACAGAGAAGAGATCCGTCGAAACCTTAGGCTGGTGTGAGCGTTCACGATCGTTGCGATCCGCGCGAATCGCAAAAATCGCAAGTGCCCATTTGAACATTTGAAACACTGAATATGAAACAAGTAGAATCATGAACAGTCGTCATTCAACCATCACCATCAAGCAGAAATGCGGGATTGGAGAGCACCTCGCAGTATTGATTGGGGCACTTTAATTTCTGTGATAGACGCGCGATTTGCGAACTCTGACAACAACCTTAGTGAATCACGTTGCGCACCGACCGCATGGCTGATACCTGCCTCGACAGGAACCTCACTGGTTGCTAAATTCCTCTGATATGGCGACACACAAAAAAGTAGAGTAAAGATGGAATCAACCACTAAGGCTTCTCGTCAAGGTGCTAACAAGGGAAGAATGGTAGGTCGAAGTGGCCATTCAAAATGAGATGCATATCACCTCAGAGATCTTTGACGCGGACCACAAATCTGCATTCCATATCTGCTAAACGATTCTCTGAACAAAGCCTTAAGGTTCGTTGTGATAGGAGCAGACCCAAGTTCAGCATGGATGTGGTACGCATGCACAGCTTGGATGCGGATCGGTGGCCTAGTGGATGCTACGCCGGTCTCATTACGGCAAAGCCAAGGGTTTGGTCCTCGATGCGGAAGTGTTCCTTTTTCATTTTTTTCAGAAGTATGCGAACCACTTTTGCACATCTAGGAATCCTATCTAGGCGAAAACTGCTGTTCCCGAAGAAATTGGACCCTTTCAGATAATTCAGCCGTTGATTCTTCTGATCCTCCTTTCTTCTACACATCATACAAGTTAAACCTCTAAATTTGCTGGTAATCTGTAACAAGGGTCAGAAGAACCTCATAAGCATTTGGCATGAAACCCCGTATTCTCCCTCTGTAGAAGAACCATTGCATGGGAGTTGCCCTAAAGAGGGCTCAAGAAGTAGCTCTTTAATAGATTCACTAGGCGTTTTCGTGTCAGATTAGGGGATAATCGTGTTGAGGAGCTCTAACTACATATGGGAACGCATTGTTAGGATTACTGGGATTTTCACCTTTTTCGAAAAAGTGCTGGGACGCGGTAGCCTTGGGCAGCGGTCAATGTCAGGAAGAGGTCCTGGCGACGCGGCGCTAAAAATGAAGGTTATTTTCATGATGGGGCCTTCTATTGTCCCTATACATGGAGTTTCAACGATCAGAACCTTCTTGCCCACAAAAGTTGTACTCGTTTGATGTAGAAGGCACCAGCTACTAAATGGCTATGCATAGGTCCCATGGTTGTCCCTACTTTTTCGATATAGGAGTCAAATTTTCAATTTGGCTAGAAATTTGTCACAAAGGGTAGTTTGACTTCCTGAAGACGATGGTCACACTCTTTCGGCGAAAACGCCTCGTTCGTGCGTTGCGTACGCTAGAGTGCCGCAATGCCAAAGTCAGAATATTCGTGGAAAAATTCATCGAACAACGACAATCTACCCCTATTAACGTGCTATAAGAAAAACAAAAAAACTGAGTGAGCAGATCCGGTCCTCTGACGTCCGCCCAGCAAACCCGCCTCCTTGACCATCGTACCACTAGCGGTGAATAAAACCTTCGAGACTTTGTGCACTGTGATCTTAGGATTCTTTGTAGTTTTTCTTTACTTCAATTTATCATGAGTGAACAAATCATCAAGACTACTTTCATTTCAGGGCACAAGAACCATATCTATTAAATTGCGAAATGCGCCTTTTAGTTGATAGATCATTACGACTGCAATGGTGTCCCATGATCGCAGAGTCGAAAAGTTAATCTGAGGCACCTATTAACAACATGGCTCAAGTTTGATCCACCAACAATACTCTGATGAGAATTTCACGAGTGAAAGCAAACATCAGAGAAAGTTCAATAGAACGCATATGGTCACAAAAAATCATAAGAAAATTCAATACTTTGAAGAGCGATGTCTTACCAACAGAACCATGGTATGGAAAGAAAGCATCATCCTTGAACACAACTACTCGAGCACCCGACTCTCTGAGTGTCGCTGGAACAGAAGAGGCAGTGGCAGCGAAAAATCTCGTCTGAATTGCAAAACTTATATACATATGTTCAAAGCAGTTGGAAACTTCAGCTTGAAGCATTTATTGCTCCGAAAACATGCGCGGCGTCACCTAAAGCAACACCCCAGACCAGGGTGAATATCGCTTGAGGATTCCTCAACGGCACGTCGAGGATTCTCTGCCCGATCAGACACGATCTCTCGCGCGGACATTCACACTCGCCATGCGCGTGCCGTCTGTGCTCTCCGCGCGGATGTTCACTCTCGGCACTACTCTCGCATGGTAGAGAGCTATGGTCGAGGAAATCCTCGACCGTTATTCACCCTGCCCCAGACCGATTTGGTAGGGTAAGTGGTAGGCAATGAAATCGTGGATGCCGAGTTCATTGCAAATGGGAAAAGATACAAAGAGAATCTCCGATAAGCGCTTAAACAAGAACTCCCCTTTAAAATAAGGAGATGGCATGGCCGTGCGAGCTGTATAAACTAGCTTGCTCATGTTCATGCCAGCAAGAGATGCGGCTGCAATGCATATGCACCAATACAATCAAAGACATATGCACAACACAAACAAAGAAATACGATAATTAAATTGAAAAAATAAAATGTAAGGTCAATCAAAAAATCGGCAGCATTCTTTAGCATGCGCTACAGTTTACACACATTCGCGCAAGGAACGCATGGTCAATCATGCGACAACAGCTAGCGAGTGGACGTATCCAACCCGACGAGCTGGCACCTATCCAAATTCTTCAGTAGCGGCTTCTCAAGGTGAGTTCTTGCTTCAACACTCCATTTGTTTTCAACAGAGCTCACCCATCTTGTCAGTCGATAGCAGCCAAAATATGAACCGATCTGGTGGTGTTGCTCTAATAAAGGCGAGAAGTAAGAAAGAAAAAGTATGCTAACGATCTGGTAAATTTCAGAAATCAAAAACTACGAAAAACAAAAACGAGTTGCTGTCGGACAACCGACTATGCGTGCGGATTATCGCAAGGAGTCTCGCGCAGAAAAACAAGATATTTTTTGAAAAGAAAAAAGAAATAATACCATTGAAAACAGCGAGTTAGCAATCTCTTCAAATTCATGATGGATCTCGTCCTTTTCCTCTCCAACCAAAACAAAACAAGGATCATTTCGAGAGTCTCGTCTTATCTGAAAACACATATGCTTATGGAACAACTGAAAAGAGCTAAAAAGAATCAAATCACGCTAACGTCATTGATTCTCGCAGCGCTGATTTTTTCTATAACTGGGGCTGAGCTTTTGACGACGAAATTGAAGAGGGCCTCTTTCGTGCGCTCTCCATGGTACTCTAGCCTGCGTCCCTGACGGAAACTGAAAGAAAGCAGAAACTACAGAAACCGACAATTAATACCGATTAATATTGTAGTGATGGAGTACGCACGTAACTCACAACAGAATCGTTGGGTAGCCTGTTATCGAGAGGCTATTGCAGGCGCTCGTGAACCGAGTGCAGTCCATTTTTGCCACTCTCACAGGCAAGTTCTTGTCACTAACAGCATGTCCAAGATGTTCCCAGACTGGGAGAAGCCGCTTGCAATGAGCACACCACGGAGCGTAGAACTGTATATAAAATGCATATTTTGCACGAATAATATCTCAAATCATCAGATCAGGACAGGCAGGCTGCTGGGTTGTATTATTCATATACCATAATTAAATGAGCTGACGGTCTATGTGTTATAACTATTCGGTTGAGCAATTATCCGCCGTTTTTATTTCCACTCATAAGTTTATTAACAAAACCAAACAAAAACAACAATAAATGAATCAACAAACGCTCTCGAACAGTCCTCTCTGCAACCGTGCCTTCATCCCAGGCTTCATTGATTCTACGAGCAGATGCAGAAGCATTCGGTTTCGAGCTCAACTTGCACTCATGTAGCATGAGCAATCTTTTTTTCATTCATTTATTTATTTATTTATTATTATCAGTTCGACGTTAAAACAAAGGTGGCCTATAAAATAAAACCCAAGTACCAATAGAAAGAACATCAAGGAACTCATCCAATGAACATCAACAAGTGTTCAAAATAGTTGTAGTGTGAGCTAGTTGTATATATAAAAAGGGGGGGGGGAGAGGAGGCCGCCGGTAGTGGAGTGAAGGACAGCGCAGAAGGGCAGTGCGAGTGAGGCAAGTACATGAGTGCTACATCAAAATGTACAAGAGATTGCGCTATCAAACTACATCATAATCTTCGGAATAATCAGAAAAAAATCAAAGCATCATGAACCTGAAGAAAAAAACGGCGGATAATTCTTGCTCAACCAAATACTTAGAGTAACATCGTATACGATTCTCGGTACACTTTGTTCACCACCACAAAATGCAAAGAAATTTTGAGTTGAAGGCTAAGAAAACTTCCCAGGTAAATGCAGAAAAACCAAAGAATTTTCTCCTCACTGGAGCGTCAGTATACAGCAGTACTCAAAAGTATTCGGCTGAGTAACCTTTTAGTCGTATTTTTTCCGCTGGAACAAGTCAGATTCAATTTTAACATATTTCGAATGAGAAGCCCATGTTTCCGGCACTTTTTTTTCTGCCATGTACACGAGAGAGGTTAAAAAATTCCGAAAGTGATCCAGCTTGATGTCGAGGCACAGCTGAGAATAAAATCACACGAATCGTTCTGGTCACGATCTGCATGTATTTCGTTAGATACTTTTTCGCAACCTACATACACCTCGTTGATATTGTGCTTGCTGCAGCAAAGCACCAACTTATCGCGAGTGTTGCGTTTGAGAGTATGACTTCCACTTCGTAGTAAGGAGGACCGACCGACCGACGAGCAACCGCAAAATGTGCAAGTTTTATGGTCAAAAACGCGAAACAACTACGCTTGGAGCAGATTTAGCTCAACGAGTACTCTGCTAACTGGAAATGAATGCATGGCTCAACCACAACAAGACAAGAACCACGGCGTGTGACATTAAGTACGGATATCTCACTTCTGTCGTTTTTCTAGTACATACTCTGAGAACTGAACGGGTCTCAGATACTATTGCACTATTACAACCCCAGTAGGGGTGAGATGGGTCAAAAAAAATTTTCGCTGAAACTTCGCTATGGGGGTTATCGAGGGTCCTGATCACGAATATGAATTCCATTTTTGGCGCTGGCGCCAAATTGGCGCCAGTGGCGCCACGACTGAACCTCACCAAATTCGCTGTAAACTTCTGTATAGGGGTTATTACGAATATGACATTCGTTTTTGTTGTTGGCGCTATTCGGCGCCTATTTCCTGCTCGTCTGCGCCCTCGCACTAATTAGATCGCAATCAGGACTAAGCCTTTGAATAGTGGAGGGCTCCAAAGTGAGTAAGCCACTCACTCCGTGATCTATCACACTTCTCACCGCAATCACTCCCTTTCCTAGGCTCAGTCGTAGGCGCTGTAAGCGAGAGTTTAGTAGAGCAGAAATAGGCGCTAAAACAGCACGAACGACAAAACGAATGTCATATTCGTAATCAGGGCCTCAAATAACCCCTATATACAAGTTTACAGCGAATTTGGTGAGATCAGTGGCGCCAAATGGCGCCAATTTGGCGCCAGCGCCAAAAATGGATATCATATTCGTGATCAGGACCCTCGATAACCCCATAAGAAAGTTTCAGCGAAAAATTTTTGACCCATTTCACCCCTACTGGGGTTGTAATAGTGCAATAAAGCCGGGTCTCATTCAGTGCTCTCGGCAACTCTGTCAGCAAACTACTCAGAACTCCTCTTTATTTTTCAAAGCAATAGCCTTCCACTCTGTTATAATATTTGAAGTGTGGATCCGAAATACTGTTCATAATAGTCAACATACCTTCACAATCCAAAATCCTTCATTGCTGACATCCAGAAATTTTTCATTAAGGTCAATTACAACTGTTAATGACCCAGCTGACAAGCAACAAGGTAGGAAAGCAAGCAAAAATAGCGAACGCCAATACATTAGCTCTGAAATTATCAATACAATACCATCTTCTACCGATCAATAGCACGCAAGAACTCGTTAAAAACTGTCATAGACCCGTGTGAACAGATTTTACCTGATTCTATAAGAGGTTCGCCGATGTGAAACTAATGCAGGGTCATGAAGACTGCCATAATGAACAACAAAGTATAAGTAAATTATTTGCGGGACTGCCGTTATTTTCTACACTGGCGACACGCACAAGTACGTGCTGCTTGTGTTTGGCCGTAAGGTCTGATTACCATAATGCATAGTGTCATGTAACTGCGACAATTTTCAGGGTTACGGGGCAGCGGTCAACCAACGTGTGCGAGTCCAGACAGAAAAGCACTGCTGGGACTAAGCCTTTCGAAGGAGGGAAAGAAAGCAGAGATGCTGTAATAGTGTGTATGTGCGAGAGTCCCAGAGAACACTACAAAACACTGAATCACCAAGCCTTCCGGTTGACCATTGCCCTTAAACGCGACATTTAGCCGCAACAGCATTATTTACGTAATGTTAACAACTTGCGACGGCAAAAAATTGAAGAATTTGAAAGTAATGGAAAGGTGTAGATGGGGAGAATCTGGAATTAAGGGGATCGTCGATTTTAGAAATGCCAATTGACCTGCCTGTCCTGTTTTAGCAGCTGCTAGCTCTCTCTATTCTACGACGTCATATAAAACGTATTCTCTGCAGATACACACAGCCGCCTCCCTTACGCTCAATTCAAATTCTTTGAAGGGAAATAATTTTATGAACTCTTTCCTCCCTGAGGGTTGTTGGTGGCATCCTCAGACATCAGATCGGCTGTTGTTTTTTGCTCAACGTGGCGTACTCAGCAATTACATCTCCGAAACCTCAAAATTTTATTTTTCCGAAATTCCTGCCAGGCGCAGTGTGGCTCGGGGGGGGGCACTCTGAGAAAAGTCAAGGATTAACAATAAGCCTAAACAGCAGGGACGAAGGGACGTACGAAAATTGCTTCCGGAGTTCCTCTCTCTTCAAAAGCTTAGTCCTAAAACGGAGTGTTTCCGTGTCAGTGTTTTGAGGCGATGTTGCGACGTGCCCCCCTCGAGCCACATTGCGCCTTCCTGCCATAGGGGTAGTTCAATGGTATAATTACGAAAATACCATTCATTTCATGTTATGACGCCATCGTGCTCCGGTTGGCTTCGCCTTATCACGACACTTTTTCACCTTATTCAGTGTAAATTTCTGTATAGGGTTACTTATTTACGAATTTGGTGTCCTGATTACGAATACGACAGTCGTTTATAGCATCAGCACTGTTCGACGCATATTTCCCGTTCTCCTGGGACACACTCTCTCCAATATGTAGTGCCAGAGACTATGCTCAGGGGTAGTGGGATTCCCGTGTGGGTGAAACAGCACCGTTTAGCAAGAGTTGAAGCGTGTGAGATAACAGGGTAAGTGGCTCACTCCCTCGGGGCCCTCCCCTCCCAAAAGACAGTTCTGGGGCCGGGTGCAGCAAGCGCCAACGAGGGGATGGAGATCCCCGAGGTTGGGGACATATCCCCAACTTTGGGGATATATCCCCAACGCGGGTGAGGGGATCTATCCTCAAGGTTGGGGATATATCCCCGGTTTCGTCACAAGACCCATCATTTTTCGATGGGTCCTATGACGCGACCATGCGAAACGGTCACTGCCGTCGGCATCTGAGGGGACGAATCCCCCTAGTCTCGACTAGGGGGATATATCCCCTGCCGGCAGAGACGCAAAGGGTCGACGGCAGTGACCGTCGCATGGTCGCGTCATAGGACCCATCAAAAAATGAAGGGTCCTGTGACGAAAAATGATGGGTCCTGTGACGATTTATCCCCTCACCCGAGGGGATATATTCTCAAGGTTGGTGATCCCCAACCTTGGGTTGAGGGGATCCCATACCCTCGTTAGGGCTTGCTGCACCCGGCCCCTGATCGCGGGTTCTTCGGTTAGAGGGCGCAAATGAGAGATAAATAGGCGCCAAATGACGCCGGCACCGAAATAAATGTCTATTCGTTATCAGGGCTTCGAAACTCTTATGGGCAAGGTCTCGCCGAAATCAAATTTTCACACTTTGGGAAATAACGTGCTTCGTCTGTCGTATGTCGTTCGCAGTCTCGTGAAATACAAAACATTCATCTGCTAAGCGGAGCTCCTCCCACAGTGGGCGTGGCCTGCATCAATATGAACGGTATTGACGACCGAAAGTTCTAAATTCGATTCCCAATACAGCCCAGAGTCTGGGAAAAATGGGTAAGGTGTGCGATAGCTAAGCCAGATCGAATTAAGGGAAGTCATCTTCGGTGGCGGAGCGTTCTTTAATATAAGAGTATGGGAGCGGGGCATAATGAAAGAATTCATAACTCAATTAGAAGAAAGCCTACAGAGCAAAAGAAATTCGTGTAGGGGAGCAATGTCTAAGGTGTTTCCAGCATACATGACGTGGGCGGAGGCCGCCCAATGGGCGGAGCGTGTCTGAAGTGTACAGCGTTTTCTACAAGTCCTCATAATTCGGTTCCGAGAAGTCTTAGAGAGCCGGGAAAAAGTGGATAGAGGTCGGTGAAGGGAATGAGGTAATGTTACCGGTGGGCAGAGCGTGCACCGAGGTAGGCGGAGTTTCCCACGAAAATTCATAAATTGGTTTACGGGCAGTCCATAGTCCTCGAAAAAAAGTTGATAGAAGTTGGCAAAGGAAATGAGATCTACTATTACCAGTTGGCGCCGCACGCATTGCGCGCGCAACACAGATCTGCGGCGAATTTTGATGGTGCGACGAAAATTTTTCAAATTTGGCTTGATACACCACGAATATCTGAATTCTCAGCTAAATTCTATCCGCTCCATCATCGACGGCTTTCAACCTCTTTTTCTTCGTCAACCATTATCCTCTTTTTCTCGGTCTCCGGACTGCTTCCGGACAATAAATCTCGTGGCAAACTCCGCCTACTTCGGTGCGTGCCCCGCCCACCAATAGCATTTGGCCCCTTCCTTTCGCCGACCTCTACCCCTTTTTCACCGGTCTCTGGGACCTCTTGGAACCAAATTACGACACTTTTGGCAAACTCCGCCCACTTAGGTGCGTGCTCCGCCCACTAATAGCAGTTGACCTCTTTCCTTCGCCAACCTCTAACCCCGTTTTCCCTATCTCCTAGGACTTCTTGGAGCCGAGTTATGAATTTTCGTCGCAAACTCCGCCCACTTTGGTCAAGCCCCGCCCACCATTGACAGCTGGCCTCCACCCCACCGGGTGTGGGTCTCCCTAATTCGATGTGACTTACCAATGCACACCTTTACCCACTTTTTGGCCCAGTTTCGAGGTCGTTTTGTCACTGAAATCGAAATCTTGGTCTTCGGTACAGTTCATTTCGACGCACGCCACGCCCTCTGTGGGCGGGGCTCCGCTTAGCTGATGTGTGTTTTGTACTTCGTGAGACCTTGCCCACCCACACTTGACCCGGTCCCTCCAGGCGGATCCCGAGGAGCTAGGGAATTTCGTGACAGACATACAGAGACAGACAGACGACAGACGAAGCGCTTTATAGTAAGTAGGATGGGCGGGGTATGCACTGAAATAGGCGGAGTTTATCACGAAATTAGAAGGTTCAGAGACAGTCCAGAGAACGGAAGAAAATGGATAGAGGTCGGCGATGTAAGGAGAGCCAGCCATCGGTGGGTGACTTGCAATGTGATGAGCGGGGCTAAAATTCAGCATCGCATCATGGCCCAGAGATAACACGGAGGCTGAGAAGGAATCGGATCGAATCTAGCTTAGACTGCACTGAAATAGGCGGAGTTTATCACGAAATTAGAAGGTTCAGAGACAGTCCAGAGAACGGAAGAAAATGGATAGAGGTCGGCGATGTAAGGAGAGCCACATCGCGTGGGGTGCTTGCAATGTTAGATGAGCCAGGCGCTCGCTAAAATTTTAGCAGCGCTCAATTTAGAGACGCAGGAGCAGTAACACACGGAGGGACTTGAGAGAGTGATCGGATACATACGTAGACTTTGAACGCGAGTCAAGTCATTGCAGCACTTTCCACTGTCCCTCGCAGGAGGATGTGTAAGGTGCACGCGAACAGCGTGTGGCCCAACTGGATCTTGATGAAATAAAGCTTGAGTTCTTGACGTTGAATCCAATTCCAGCTTAGGATACTGGCACGCATTCTATTCCATCTTGGGATGGACATTCGCTAGTGGGGCGTTGAGTGCACTCGAATTGTGGCCTCCTATACTCGTACAATGGACTTGCGGGGGCCAGCCGATGTACAAGTCAGTGTTTTTATCCTCCCAGACAAGTCTGGTACCAATTAACCGACCCCGGAGGGATGGAAGGCTTGGTTGGCCCGGGCGACTCACGACCCAGGATTTGATCCCCGGACCGCTCGCGTGGTAAGCGCGCCACTTGTCACTACACCACTTCCGCCCTTTGAGTGTCTGATGAAATGTTATGGTACAAACTAAAGGACGAAAGCCAACGAATATTTCTGAAGGACACACGCGCGCCCCATGACGCCCATCATTAGCGAATCCACATCTATAGGAGTATCGGGAGGCTAGTCCTGTATATATCATCTTGCAAAGATATATTTTGGGGATCTCGAAAGCATTCACCTATTGCGCTTCATATGCTGTGTGAACCACGCGTGTTGTCTCGGGAGCGCCATGGTTCCGACTACAGCATTTGTGCCGTAGCATTTCTTAGCGTGTGAAGCTGAAAAATCGTCTTTTACCGAAATATGTTCGACTGCTTCTGCTTCCATAAGCCCACATCTGAAGCGACGCAGTAAGAGGCCTACGTATCTCGGATGGACCTCCAGACAATCTTTATTCATATTCTTACGCGTCCATATTCACTGTTGGGTTAGACATATCTCTAAGCTTATCACCTCGCTCGAATCACCGCTTGTTCTGTCCCGTTGGAATCACTAGATCGGAGATTTGCTCGAGCGGGCGCCGGCAACGTCTCCATCGTCCGTCGCGTGCTCACAGAATGGTTGACTTACCGCCGTGGATCCTCCTCGCTCGAGGGAATGTCCTTCATTCCTTTCGCTCAGAGCTTTCGTGAAGAAGTCTGATCCATATCTAGATAGATGTCTAGATAGATGAGAGAAAAAAAAAAACACAAATCTAGTCAGCCTGCAACACTCACCATCAGTGACGAGGTGAATTGTGAGTTGCATGGAGAGGGTTCCCTGCTGTAATGAACGGTAGCTAGGCCTGACTTTTCAATTGTGGTCAGAGAGCCATAATAGGGCCGTCCTCCTGCAGGATCCGCACTCTTGATGTTGTATACGCGGACGGGTCTTCGAAAAGGGATATCTTGATTTTTGGACCGTTTCAGAGACACGTTTTGTAGCTAATCAATAATTAGCGCGCGTGATTAAATTTTATTTAAATTAAGGCGATTAGCGCTGTGACTGCACTTGAATCCACCAAACTTTTGTGCATATGAACTGGGATCCTCGCGCGCTAGTCACATTAGTGAATCCGATCGGCGCGGATGGCGTCTCAGAAGGAAGCGCGCGTTGTACAACACACGATTCGAAAACTGCCTAAACCAGGGATCAAGCGCGTTATGCGTGCGCGCTATGTCACAGAGGATTCTTCCGCACGTTCGACTTTCCGATTATCAGATTTCGGTCAGTGCTTCTGTAAATTCATTAACCTCTCATCTATATGAAGACGGCGCGCCGCACCACGTGCCAACAGCGTAGGATGACGTACGGGCAACCGCCGTAGTATATCTACGTGCCCAAATAATGAGTGTGCGCGGGAACTTCGGACTAGCCCAGTTGCCACCGATACCATCCTTGCACCGGAGATCCTCGCATACTTTTCTTTGTACTCCCATGAACATGTGAGTGAAAAATGGTGGTAGAAGAAAATACGAAGCTCTTGTGAGTCGTTACAAGGTGCAAGGTCTGAACCTGGGAAACTTATGCTCGTCAGAGCGATAAAAAATATGTGTCTGATACGCCCAACTGCAAATTATACATAAATTTGGTGTTTTCTCTATTAAAATTACATTCTTTTCATTCGAATTATACTATCACACTCGATACTCCCTTTAATTCTACCTCTATCACTGTTTATGTGCATTTGTTTATTTTTCTCTAATAGTTTGTTCACTACATCGTAAGTAATCACCAAATGTGGATCTGTAGAGTCGCAAAGAGGATGTGAAAACACCACCAAGGAATCGAGCATGGTGTGTATAGGGAACGTAAGGTCACGCCGTTCCAGGGAGACGGTCTATTTAGTGATGGCGCTTTTTTTAGGTGCTTCATTAGCAGTACTGTAAGGTGAGTTCCTAAGGAAAAAGAACACTCGTGCGCGAGCTTGCTGCTCAAATTTGTCTATCCACTCTCTGATAAGGGGGCGTGAATTACTTCTTAACCGGAGGAAGGTCTTTCAGGTTCCTGGAACGGCTGAAAAGGTTGATTGATAACGCTTGCTGCTCTCTTGTAGTCACCTGATATAGGCACATTCACTGTACGGCTTTGGGAACACTAGAAACCATGTAGTCAAATTTATGTTCTCTGAACGGCCCCTTCTGAGGAATAACTCAAAGTCCGCCAGAAAGGAAGCCGCAGAAAGAGATCCCTGTGTCGATTTCATGGTCGTGGTTAACACATTTTTGCATTTCGAGTGTGGCCAAAATTCGCGCGCAAAATGGACTTGGGCTACAGACAGAGAGCTTGTACTTCAACACTGGGTGTGAGGAGGCGTGACATCAAGCAGCCATGGGTGGTCACACCTTTTCACCAGTTAAGCCACGAGTCAGTGATAGGCGCCCGCGCCTGCGCGCGCGCGCGCCGGCCCGGGGGGCGGGCGGCATGCCGTCCGCCGCGCGCGGGGCGCCGCGGCCGCGCCGCCCTGGCGGCCCGGCGCCGCGGCGCTGCGGGCGCCGGGCGGCCGGCCGCTGGCCGTCCCCGGGCGGCGCCGCCGGGGGCCGGGGCCCCGCGTGACCATAGAAGGCCTTTCCATCACAAAAATTTCCAGGAATGCGCTCAGAGGGGTGTTGCCGCACTCCTGACTCGAGATTGCGCGCCGGCAAGGTTTCTGGCCTACAACTTATAGCGATGGGTTTGTTACATAAGCTGGTCCCGATTGATTCGCCGCCCACCGGCGGGGATGCTGCACAAGTGTGGTGGGCGTGGTGGTTCGCTGAACGTGCTACTGGTCTGAAGGTCAGGCATAGGGCTTGCGCCAGTGTCCGACCATCGAATACCGTTAGAGAAGTCGTGAGGCATCATACTGGGAAACTGCGTTTGACGTGGCTCTCCTCGCCAAGCGCAAGCCTCCTTCACGTGCTGGGAAGAAGGGGTTTCGATTTAGGCTTGTCGGCAGAGCGGTTAACTCTGTATAGAACCGCTGCGTTTTTTCTTCACTGTCGTTCCACCTCCCATCTCTACACTCAGCTTCAGGCGCCATAATGCCCAAACACGAGCCTGACTTTTGCCTTTAATCAATGTCTATTTGTAAGGGTTACTGACGGCGTAATAACTTCGTATAGTGAGATATTCTCCGTAACACAGTATCATAACATGACTACTTCGAGTGTTTGACGCGTGCGATTTGGAACGTAACTCGAAATGCAAAAATTCGTCACCAAGGAGATCGACATTGCTTATGGGGCCCTTTTCTTGCTAGGTCAGAGGGCGCTCTAGGAACATAATGATATAAACTGATTGGGATATTCATAAGGATGTCGTCCGCCGAGTCTGCCCTTAATACCTCATTAACTCAATTGTAGCTATGGACTAAGACCATTCTTTTTCAAATACACGCCTAGGCTCGGCTACGGCGTGAAAAGTCCATTTTGCTTGAAGGTCTGTGCCGTGTCAAACATATTTTCGTCGCAAATGAGGATTCAGCTTTTTTAGAATCGTCCGTTTCGTTTTTCATGGTAGTGGACCTGAAACATAGGACATGTGGATCTAAACATACATGCAAGTTGGGCGCATAAGATGTCGTTGAATTCGACTTGATCTGCAGATGGAAATGCCCTGCACGTGCACCTGCGCAGCTAACTACCAGATAGTGGCGCTCGAAGTTGGGAGAGGGGTCTCACATATGGTTAGTAAAGACTTTACTACTTCGCACCATAATTACAGCAGATAGAAGCTGTTCAGCAAGCTATCGCGTATGTGAAGGTGTGCGCACTCGGCTACCGGATCATGGATTAGGCCTCAATGAAGCTGCAAAGTTCACTGAGAAAAGGACGAAGCATCGCTCTATTTCCAATGAAGGAATGAGTGAGAGGCACCGTTTGCGATGGTTTACTGCATGAAGATGGATGGTTAATAGTGGGGTAATAGAACTTAGCACTAGTTCACTCGTGGAGGAACAAAAGCGGCGTCACTCACGCTCAATGGGGGGCATTAGTGGAATGAAATGTCAAGTGGCTGCCCTGAACTTTCGCCTGAACCAGCTACGGGTCCCGTTTTATGGAATCGCGAGAAAACACCTGTGGGCGTGCTATACAAGCTTACACTCCCTCCAAAATCAGTAAATCAGTATGGAACTTTTAAGGAGAAAAACAAAATAGCCAGGAGTAAATGTATGGGCCAAATCGCTTTGAAATGCTACATGTCACTAAATGGAAGTCCAAAGCATGGCGCGCAGGCAGGAAAGGGATTGATCAACGGCAAATGCTTTATATTTTTATCTGTGTGTGACTGCTCAAAAATGCTAGGGTGTTACACGTTGTGAATTTCGTAATAACTTGAAAAGTTGGTTTTTTGTCGCTGCAGTGTAGCTTACAAGCAGATGGTGTAGTGGCGTGGAAGCAAAACTGATACCTCAAAAACGGAGAGGAGATAGAATATAAAGAACGATCGGATCAACTTTGAAACAAGTGCTCCTGAAGAGCCAGTGGGTGGTGGGCGGACTTGAGTTCTGAGCTGTTTTTTTGAGCCTTCCTTCACCACCTTATCATTATTCAACAGGATTATTGTGACCATTGTTTCAAAGTGTATTGTGAGTTTTTCTTTGAATTTTTGATCAGAAGTGGCCTAAAGGAACTCGCAGGGATGAGGGGCACATCGAGCGTTTGGGAAACTCCTCGGCGATCAGAGCATTCTGTCTCAGAAAGAGTGGCGCAATAAACAGAACTAGGGGGAGTGTAGGCAGTCTAGAGGGGGGGGGGGTTAGGGCAGTAATTTGATGCCCCCTTTACTGGATGAGACCCGGAAAAAGATACTGAAAATAAGAGGCAACCGCAAAGCGTTTTTTTTTGTATTTTGCGGATACGTTGGGGGATGCCACAGCAATTCGAGAAAAGAGAATGTTTGGATTGGCTGTTACCCGGAAGCAGCATATTCACCGAGAACACTTAGTTTCCTGTTCTCTGGTTAAATTACCTGTTTTTCTCCATCCCGACTTGGAGCTTCCTGGTCGGTTGCCGATCAAGAGTGCGACCGGATACACTCGAGCGAGAGAGCCTTCGAGAAATATTCCCAGTTGGGGTTACACAGAGAAACCGTGGGATGTGCCACCTCCCTTTCGCCATTATCTAAGAAGGAAAAAATGAGAACAACCAAACGGCTCTGGGAATTCTAGAAAGTGGTCACGACAATCCTCATGGAGAGGATAAGGAAGGTTACGTACTGGATTGGGTAGGAGTTCTGCCCGACAACAAGTAAGTTTCAGTGGCAGTGGCGCCTTATCAACGGAGTGATAAGGCGCCGAAATCCACTTCCCGTAGCAAAAATCTAGTATCGATGTGGAAGGGGTTGCAGTGGCAGCGTACTAGATATGATACCGTTATCGTTATCGTCCGATTTTCATTCTGGAGTGCACCTCATTCCGAGATCTTCTTAGCTTATCGTATCGTATGGGGTCACGCTCGTCCAACAATTATCTATCACAACGGTTATCGGTTGATAACGCGAGGACAGCAGGCCCACGAGGAAGCCGGCGTGATCGCTTCCTCACCTGTCGTCCCGTTGATCATCGAATTGCTCGAGCGGGCGCCAGCAACGTCTCCATTCGTCCCTGTCGTGCTAGAGTGGTCCAGTGGATCCTCCTCGCTCGAGGGACACGAAGTCCTTCATTCCTTTCGTTCAGAGCTTTCGTGAAGAAGTCTGACCATCGGGCCGGCGGTCGTCCAGGTGTTCGTTTGACGTCCCGAGGGATCCAGTTCTCTCCAACGGTCATCGCGTGTCCGGCCCACCTT